CAAACGTCACATTTCTTGCACCATTTCCTCACATCTCCTTTGCAGTTCACCCAATAGAACCGTTCCCGCAGCTTGCAAGTGTCTTGGTAACACCGAGATGTCCACCGCTGGTTCCATTGTGAACTTCCTCCAAGACTTCCGGGATCCTCTTCTTTGGAATGACGATCTGCCTTCTCTCTTCTTGTCCCTCCGGTCTCTCGATCACACGGCGAAGTAGTCCGTTATCTATTACCAAGGAATTCCACTGAGCCCAGTACGACTTTACGTTCGGCGAATATCTGCAAACTTCTTCCCACGTTGGTCTTAGGTCTGCATTTTTCTAGTTAATTACTAAACCTAATTCTGGGTCACTGGTTTGGTCATTTGCAAGATCTTCGGGTTGCCAAGTATCATTAACCACAGTTGTTCTTACGAGTTTCGCTTCTTTCTCTTCTGCTCGGGAACAATGCTTACAGTCCTTATCGCAAGGTCTTCTGGAAAGTGCGCCGGCATTTCGATGGATTGCCCCAGCTCGATGTTCTGTGTCGAAGTCAAATTCTTGTAATCGTTCGATCCATCTAGCTACCTGCCCTTCAGGATTCTTAAACTGCAACAGCCATTTCAAAGCAGCATGGTCTGTTCTTAACAAGAACTTTCTTCCATAGAGATACTTGTAGAAGTGTTCCACTGCTTTAACTACGGCTAGTAATTCTCGTCTGGTCACGCAGTAGTTCCTTTCCAGTTTTGACAAGGTCTTACTAAAATAACCAATTACTTTTTCTTGACCATCCTGGATTTGAGACAGAACAGCGCCTAATCCAACATTGCCAGCGTCGGTATCCAATATAAAGTTTCCGTTGCCAAGGGGGTAGCTAAGTATGGGCGCACTAGTCAGGGCCTTCTTCAATGTTCGGAATGCCTCGTCAGAATCTGAGTCCCAAGAGAAACGCCTCTCGCCTTCGGTAAGTCTGGTCAATGGTTTTGCGATGGTGGCGAAACCCTGTACATAGCGGCGATAATATGTGCATAGTCCCAAAAAGCTTCGTAGTTCATGTTTATCTTTAGGTATTGGCCACTCTTCCACTGTCTTGGTCTTCTGTAGATCTACCGCAACTCCTTGGGAGGAGACTACATGTCCCAAGTTTCAAACCAGAGCTCCCTAGTCGCTTGAAAACTTCTTCCAAATTCTTCAGATGATCGTCAAAGGATTTCCCAACCACTATGATGTCATCCAGGTACACTAAACAGGTAGTCCAGGATAGACCCTTTAACACAGACTCCATTAGTCTCTCAAAGGTAGCTGGCGCGTTGCACAATCCAAAAGGCATGACGGTAAATTGCCACAGTCCGGTGCCCACCGAGAACGCTGTCTTCTCTCTGTCTTTCGGCGCCATGTCGACTTGCCAATATCCACTCTTCAATCTAAGGTAGAGAATATAGTCGATCCCGCCAGCCTGTCTAGAGTATCGTCTATCCTCGGCAGGGGATAGCTATCCTTCTTGGTAACATTATTAAGTTGCCGATAATCAACACAGAACCTGGTGGTACCGTCTTTCTTCTTTACTAGTACTACCGGCGATGTCCACGGGCTGTTAGATGGTTCGATGACACCCTCTTCTTTCATTTCTCGAAGGATTTTGTCAGCTTCTTCACGTTTGGCGAGCGGCAGTCTACTCGGATTTTGTTTGATTGGTCGTGCATCTCCGGTGTCAATTTTATGTTGTACTAAATTGGTACGACCTCTATGTCCTGCTTCTCCTTTATCAAACACATCTTGATACTTGATTATCAGGTTTCTCAATTTTCTACTATCTTCGGGAAATAATCCCTTAACGTTTACTAACTCCTTAACCATTTTGTCCGGAATTTTTGAAATCGAAACTTTGGAGGCTTCCACGCTTCGAATGACTGAGGAGGCCGAACAACAGTACCCTAACAGGGTTCCCTTCTTCAAGGATACAGAATGATAATTCGTGTTCATTACTCTTACCGGTACAGACTTCTTCGCTCGTAGCAGGGGTTTTCCAACAGCGACCCCTCGTCCTATTTCGCTGTCATGGTTCCTTGGCTCCAACAGAATAATACTCCCATTATTCGTTTTACCTTCCAGGCGACCATCCAAAAATATCTCACAGCGCTCAGGGATCGAAACATCTTCTGCTACTACCACGCGAAGCGTCTCCTCACATTTTCGATGTAGAACCACTTCTTCTTCATTTATTTTCAAAATTTCTTGTTTGAGGTTTAGTTCAAAACCTCTAGTGGTCACGATGTCCATTCCGAGAATAAGTTCATCTTCGATGTCTGCTACTAACACTCGATGATTAAAACAGGTGCTTCCGATAACAAAATTAAGATCTACCTCTCCATGGATGAGAGCGCAGCTTCCTGTAGCTGTACGTAGTCGCCATTGTGTTGTTTTAATCCTTTTTGATGTTTTAAGGATATCCGGCCTGATGATCGTTTTGGTCGCACCCGTATCCAACAGCATGGTCCGTAACTCTCCATCCACGAAACTAGCCACAAAAATGCTGTTGAACTTGTGTTGTAGCGATGCGACTTGAACAGTTTTCGTTGGAACCTGTTGGGTACTGCTCCATATGTGTCCCTTTGATTCGACACTTGGCGAAACCGAGTCCACGTCTTTTTCTTGACAGTGACTTCTTACGTGTCCTGCCTGGCCGCAATTCCAGCAACAAGTCGGTCCTTTCTTGCCCATGTACTCCTCCATGACTTTCCGTACAATGCTTTCCACGGATTTGTCGGAACATTGGTTGACCGCCCGTACTCTCACTAGAGACCGAGAACTGTTTCGCGGCCTCAAATTCTAGGGCACGTGCTAAAGCATCCACCAAGCGCGTTGGGTGGGCTAGAAGAAGCGCTTGCCTTGTCTCCCTGTCACGTAAGCCATCGAGAATGCCTGTACTGCCAACCGCTCCATAACATTCTCGGGCCTAGCAGGGTACGCAAGGCGAACGAGGCGGGCTACGTCGGCTTCAAACTCCTGCAGAGACTCATTTGACTTTTGAATGCGATTTTTTTAGCTGGGAATGATAGACATGTTCCAAATGAGCCTGGCCGTACCTTATTTCTAAATGTCGTACCAATTGCTGATAATCTCCCTGTTCCGATGGTGACAGTGTCTGCAGGATGTCAGTCGCATCTGCTCGCAGTGCGACAGTCAAAGCGGTAGCCTTTTCAGCGATTGTCCACCCGTTCGCTCTCGCAGCGGCCTCAAACTGGCAAAAATAATTGGCCCAAGCGGTTTTTCCGTCAAACTGTGGAGGCTTAATAACTGACTTTGAGACATACTTATTTTCAACCAGTGTCGGGTTCTCCGTTGATTCTTGACATTTTGGTGAATTTGCCTTTGCTATTCGTTCTTTCAAAATTTCGATTTTTCTATTTACATCGTCCTCAATTTGTGTTATTTTGTCTTGTAGTTCTGTAGAATTATCTATAATCTTTTCTTCTAATTCCCTGGAAGATTCCTGGATTTCTGTTATCTTTTCTTCTAAATTAAGGATTTTATTATTAAAGTTGGCCTGTATGTCTTTAGAATTTTCCGCGATCTTATCTTCTAATGAATTAATTAAATCCTGGGAATTTTTTATAATTTTATCACTGATTTTATCTTCTAAAATATTCATTTTATCGTTTAAATTGTCTTGCAAATTTTTAATGACGAGTCAAGGTCACCTTCCAGCTCGAAGTAAAATGTGTCAGAATCCTCACCTTCCTCTACCAAAACGTCTCTCAGTCTGGCTTGCAAAATGCTTTTTTTTCTATCTGTCTCGCACTCTCTCTCTTCCAATATGCATTTCAGTTCGGACACTTTCAAGTCTTTCAACAATTTTTTCAGAGCCATAATTCAGTCTTTTTTATTCTTCTAGTCCTATCACACCCACACTTGACACCAATTGTTACGTTTTTCGTCGGTTCTGTGTGGATAGAAAGTCACAATTTATTTAAACACTATTTATTTAACACTAATTAACAAAAACAATAACGATAAAAGACTTATAGAACTATTTACAAACGAGCTTTTTTTATATAACTAAGAATTTATTTTTAATTTTAGCGCGTCAACTGCACTTGTATATTTATAACTGCCCCCTGTAGGCCACCGCCGCCGGCTTTTATACCGACAGGTAAAGAACTCTAGAATAGTCTATAGATCGTTAGGTGCGTAGAGAAGGTTTTCGAATGTTCTCGTATGTACTAGTACATTCCAGTGGAACTCGATTCTTCTCGAACGAATGAATCATTGCGGTGTCTATGCGATGTTAAGGTCATCCGAGGGCGGGCCATATTGTGAGGTTAGGTCGAGTCCACACCGGCCCGCAACAATATTTAAATTTTTAATATCGAAAAAAAAATTTAGTTTTAGTTGCCGTAAGCTTTGTCGTAGCCGAAGGTTTGAGATGCAGCGCGAAATTTGTGTAGGTAATAATTCATAATTTTCTGGTTCTGGATAAATGATATTTACTTGATTTTTTAAATGATATTTTTATTTCTTCTTGATTCTGGAATAGATATTTTCAAAAAGACAGCATATGGTATTCAGTTTGTAAAACCCGTGCGGTTAAAAGAAAACAATTGCTTAAATGTCGAAAAACGTTTAGAGAAAGAATTGACTTAAAATATAAAAAATATGTGAAATAAAACTTCTAGAAATGTGTATGTGTATATATGTATTTATATTTTTGTGACATTATTATTTAAGTGTGTTTTAAATCCAACCGTGGAAAATTTGTGTAAAGAACATTGACTGGAAATTTAGTGAAATGGCACCTGTTTAAAAATGTAAGGGTAGGTTTCATTTTAAGATAATTCGTATTTATTTCTAGATCTATTTTCCTTTAAGTAAAGTACAAGTACCTTGTAAGAAACCAATTAAATTTGGCCGCGCCTTAAAAAAATCGACGCAATATTTTTAGATATTGACCTCCCTACAATAATAACCACGAGCCACCACTGCCTGTACATGTATTTTTTAGTTCTCAAAAAATTGATCTTACCTCTGATAAAGCTTTGGCAATCTTGATCCCCAGCTCTCTGACAGTAGATTTCTGATTTCCACAGATTAATTGTAACAAATCGGTCAGCTCCTTGTCCGGCCCGTTTAATATTTTGACACCCAATACTTTTAATGTCAATTCGTTAAGACCAGAGGGCATACTTGGATTGAGCACTTGCATGCAGTATGGCTTGAAATCTTTCGGGTTTTTGTCAATAGGGTACTTGACAAACGGAGAAATACTAAAAAAGTTAGTTAGTTAGTATGCTACTTCGAATAAAAAGATTAAGGAAGGGGCATATAAAAAATCTTAGATCGAACGCGAAGGGGTCCGAAAATGGCCGACTTAAATTCCGGTTTATCAGTGCCGTTCTAATTTTATTCAAAACGTGTAAAAATATGATGTAGGGTAGACTGAATAATTTGTTTTTATTTTACGTTGTCAATAAATGTTTATACGTGAAAAAATGCAGTTTTAGTGTTTATTTAGTGATTTTTTTTTCACTTTTCAAAGCTTTCAAATATACGAATTAAAAATTACTCTCAGATAGATTTTTTAGAAAATTTTATGCTCTACAAGAATTCGCGATGTAATTTTTTTTATCGTAAACCGTTTCAAAGTTATGGTACTTTTAATGGAAAAATATTTTTTTACGTGTTATTTAAATGGAAAACTTTGAATGTTCACCGACATTTTTTAAAATTGAGCTAAAAATCCTGCCTTCCGGGGATATTTTTTTCTTGGTTATTACGTTCATTTTAACCCATAAATTCGTTAGGTTAGTTTTTTGGTTCACCCTAACGTCCATCCATACATCCACACACCGAAACAAACTTTCGCGTTTATAATATACACGGTGTCCCAGGAACTTCCCAGGAATTAGATGTTTCTAGAGAACCACAATATCTAGATCGGAGTTTTTTTGCACATCATTGTTTTACAGCGAGATCTATCGATTAAAAATATTTTCAATATGGCGGCACTTTCGGAAATACCGGAAGTTGACGACAACTTTCATATTTTAAATAGGTGCTCCCATTTTTTATTCCATACTTAAATTCTCTGTAAAATTTTATGAATTTTGATATCAAACACTCTATACCTAACATTAACCGTTTTTGAGAAAAAAAATATTTAACATTTTTGGACGAAAAAAACTGCCTGTCAAAAATATGTGTATAGTCTAAACGTCAAATTTAGTGATTACCACAGCCACTGTGCCATAAAGAGAAGACATGTGGCTATCTATTTCAAAAATTAAATTGTTTGAATGTCATATAATAATGCAGCTGTCATGAAATTGAGAGATTAAAAAAGTATCATAAATCATTTTTTTTTCATAAACCCACTTTTTTTATTTCGCTAGTGAAAAGGCTTTTCAATTCGTTTCTTTTTAACTATACATGTTCCTATACCTAAAATAAATCGTTTTTAAGTTATTTAAAATTTAGTTTTAAAGCGTATATTTTTCTTGATTTTAACAAGTAGCCTATGACTTTACACGTCAAGTGATGTAAAACAATAGATCTGACCATGCCGTATTGTGACACTTTATTATATTACCGACAGCAGTATATTACCGATCATCATTTGCAAGCCAACTTTGCGTTGTTTTTATTTCAGGGTTGATACAGTACATTATTAAAATAATTAATAATATCAACTATTAGATATCACTAAGGAGCGAAAATACGAGATATATTTTCATAAATACACTTTTTAAACTTTTAAGCAACAGTATTTACAACTTTGTCTGACTTTTTGACACTTAATGTCAAAGGAAGCTAGATAAAATCAAGAAAAATATACGTTTTCAAACTAAATCTTAAACAACTTGAAAACGATTTATTTTTGGTATAGGAACATGTATAGTTAAAAAGTAACGAATTGTAAAACCTTTTCACTAGTGAAAAAAATTATTTATGATAACTTTTTAATCACTCAATTCCATGACAGCTACCGCCATTATCATATGACATTTGAACAATTTAATTTTTGAAATAGATAGCTACATGTCTTCTCTTTATGTCACAGTAGCTGTACCAATCACTAAATTTGACTTTTAGGCTATACAAATTTTTTTGACAGGTTGTTTTTTTCGTTGAAAAATTTTAAATATGTTTTTTTCTCAAAAAACGGTTAATGTTAGATATAGATTGTTTAACATCAATATTCATAGAATTTCACAGAGAATGTAAGTATGTAATAAAAAATAAGGGCGGCTGTTTAAAATAAGAAAGTTGTAGTCAACTTCCTGTATTTCCGGAAATGCCGCCATATGGAAAATATTTTAATCGATAGATCTCGTTGTAAAACAATGATGTACAAAAATCTCCGATCTAGATATTGTGGTTCTCTAGAAACTTCTAATGCACGCTCAACCTGGAACACCCTGTATACTTAAGAGAACTTACTCTATAATATTATCTTTCATAAACTCCCACAACTGTGTATATTGAAACGGAGCCAGCAGATTCGCATATTGACAGACCTTTGGCGACAGAGTATATGTACCATATTTGTCATAAACATTAAGCCTTTGTTCATTGTCAGGATTTTCATTTATGTCCAAAGATACTGAAAAATAAAATCGCAAAATTCATAATTTATATACAGAGTTTGCTAAAAAGTTCGTAACAATTAGGAGATTTTATATTATTGACTAACTGAAAACCTATTTATGCGAAATTATTTTTGCACAACCAGTAACAAAAAAAATATTTTTTTCACAATTTATTGCGGTACAAATTCAAGTCGTCGTCTAAGTCCGTACGTCGTGTACGACGTGTAGTGGCTCCGGCTCCTGGCTCCGACTCTCTAAGGACCTGACGGCCGCACGCACCGCCCGTCTCCAATTTTTCCTGTTTTCTGTCCCTCGAACGGCTCCCTCCAGGTTGGTATTCATAAGTTTTTCAACCATGTCCACCCACCTGGTTGGTGATCTGCTTCGGCGACGGGCTCCTGCAGGTCTTCCTTGTACTACCAGTCTCTCCATGTGCACGCTCCTGTTGACATGGACGAAGGAAAGTATACGTTTATGAGGAAGTATACGTTTACGCTGGAAAGTCTTTGTGGTAATTGGATTTCGTTAAGGACCGACATATTGGCTAAAAACACGCTTTTAGATGCATCAAAAAAATGTTTTAATAAGAGTAACTTTAACTCTACATATATGTTTCGGCTTGTTAGGCCTTTACAAAGTTACTTTAAAGTTACTTTTATTAATTTTTTTTGATACATCTAAAAGCGTGTTTTATTAAAATACTAATATTTCAACGATGTTTCGCAATGAACCAACCACAGCCTCAGTACTAGGTTTATTTTTGTCGATTTTGTTAATGACTGTTCGACCAAACTTTGGTGAGCTGCGTCATAGTGTTACGGGCCAGTTGAATTCTGCGGCGTATTTCCACTTCGCAACTACCAGTATTAGATATAAGTGCACCTAAATATATAAATTGTTACACAACTTGGCAGCGGTTTATGTTTGTGATATCTGGGCGGTGGTTGTTTTCGCGATCAACGATCATCACTTTCGTTTTTTTGTATTGATGCGAAGGCCGAACTGTCTACTGATAGTTTCCAATCTTGGTATAATTGCTTCCAGTTCTAGCTGGTTTGCGGCTACCAATACTGTGTCATCAGCAAAACGCACATTTGATATTCTGTAGCCATTCAGTGATACACCGCCTGCCCATTCCTCCAGTACAATCCTCATAGTGTATTCGCTGTAGATGTTGAAGAGCATTGGGGACAGTACGCAGCCCTGCACACATTCAAGTACTGCATTAACAATATTTTTTATTAAATTTTCTGGTTTTTATGTCATTCTAACCAAAAAATACTATTTTATACTTTTTCTTCAAACAGTATAAAATATATATTTGGGACACAATAATATAATAATAAATAATACACAGCTCGGGATCTTTACTACCAGAAATCAACAGAAGAATTAAATTAGCATGGAGTACTTATGAAAGAAACTCCATCATATTCAAATCTAGAATGCCCCTCTAGCTAAAGAAGAAAACATTCGACCAATGTGTACTACCAGCCATGAACTATGCATGCGAAACCTGGACACTTAATACGGACATCATAAGGAAACTACAGGTCGCACAACGCTCAATCGAACGAAATACGCTAGGAATAGTCAAGAGATACCGTAAAAGGAATAGAGTGGATACGACAAAAGACCCAAGTAGCAGATATCATCCACAGAGTCAAATCCCTCAAAGAACAGACAACAGATGGACCAAAAAAATTACAGCATGGTACCCACGAGGAATTAAGAGACTTAGAGGAAGACCAAACATGAGATGGGACCATATTAGGAAATTAGCAGGGATAACTTGGGCCCGCATAGCCAACAATATATAACAATGGGCCCAACTAGAAAGAGAGTATATAAGGGAGGCTACTCCATAATTGGAAATGATTGAATACGCTGAAAATGATAACGAGACTTTTTCTTAAAAAAATATTCAAAAATCTATATTTTTTAAATTTCCTATATATTTAAGAAATTTGGTACATCTCAAAACAACTGTTCTCTTTAACATTTTTAGATATTTTGTTACCTAACTCTACTTTTGCATATGTAAAAGGGATTTTTGTAATAATTTGTCAACGATATGTCGACTGTCGTATGACATATGTCAAAATGATTTTCTACGTTATTGGACATGCTGAATCAAAGCTTCTTATTCCAATAATACAAATAAAAATATCTCCATTTGTTACGAACTTTACAACAAGCTTGTTTATAGAGTTATTATACCAAAAAAATCTGCCATTTTCGAATATTCTCTTAGAGGATGTTCAGCTCCCAGAGACAACCCAACTTGAACCCGATGGTGTATTTGATGGTATCTAAACCCGCTCTGCGAAGCTTTGATTTTCTCAAGACGTGAGAGTTCAGTCAAGACATCCGAATTTTCAGCAGCCATCAGAGAACTTATTATTTGCTGCCCTTTAATCAAAAATGTATTAAAATATGTAGCAAAAAACCTTGATATATTGATTAGTAGAGTAGAGATGAGCAAAAAATCGCAAACGGCGATTCAATCGCAGCGATTTTAAAACATCGCAACCTGCGGTTGGCTCTCATAGGAAACTGCTATTGCGATTTCCTCTATTTGTGAGGTTCAATTTAGGCAACCAATATTACAATAGTTGCGATTTTGCTGCGATTGTGTTTTTGTAAACTAGGACCGTGATAACCTTAATCTGCGAGTTTGGTTTAGAATTTTTCAGAGTTTACAGACAATTATATACCTATTGTACTAGCAAAACATTTTTCTATGCACGTCATCAATCATATCGACATTGACACTAAAGCACAGCTTAAGTAAAAAACAGCTCGGACAGTGCAGCGTGCACTGTCCGAATTTTGATATTAAACACTCTATATCTAACATTAACCGTTTTTGCGAAAAAAAATATTTAAAATTTTTGAACGAAAAAAACTGCCTGTCAAAAATATGTGTATAGCCACAAACTGTGGTATAGCCTAAACCAGAGTACGTAGATCGCCGAGTAGCGACAGAAACCGTCGGCTCTTTTGATGTGGTGGGACCAAATTTTCTTTCTCTCTCTTTTGACGTGTTTGACAGATAGATTACGTATTTAACTGCTCAACTTATGAAGTGGTCCTATAAACATGGTATACACTGCTCACAATTTGAAGTGGAATTAATTATAAAGTTTTATACATATCTTTTTTGTTTTGTTTTATCCTTATTTCTAAATTTGAATGTATAAAATATCTTACTGCTAATAAATAATTAAAAAAACGATTCGTTGCCTGAGGTATACTTGAAATAAAGTATATGAGATATTTGATAAATGACAACAGTGGCAACTTCGCTTCTTTGTATGACAGATAACCTACTTATTTCGCGCAGCCGCAAAGAAAATTGAAAACGGGACTGTCGCTACTCGTTGGTTTAGGTACTCTGCCTAAACGTCAAATTTAGTGATTACCACAGCCACTTTGCCATAAAGAGGAAACATGTACCTATGTATTTCAAAAATTAAATTGTTCGAATGTCATATAATAATGGCCGCAGCTGTCATAGAATTGTGCGATTAAAAAATTATCATAAATCATTTTTTTCAAATGGAAACCCACTTTTTTTCATTTCACTAGTGAAAAGGCTTTTCAGTTTGTTACTTTTTAACTATACAAGCTCATATACCTAAAATAAACCGTTTTTGAGTTATTTAAGATTTAGTTTTAAAGCGTTTTATATTTTTCTTGATTTTACCCAGTAACCTATGACTTTAAACGTCAAGTGATGTAAAACAATAGATCTGGCCATGTCATATTGTGACGCTTTGTTCAAAGAGCAACTTCATTTTCGTGCCAACTTTGCGCTGTTTTTTTTTTCGATCATACGGAATATTATTAAAAATATCAACTATTAGATATCACTAAAGAGCGAAAATACGGAGATATATTTTATAAATACACTTTTTGCTTTTACAATACGCTTTGATCTTTTTACGCTCGGATTTGCGATTCGAAAGAGGGAGAACACTAGAGTGGCGAGCTCTCTCGCCACAACCAATAGCCGCGTATGCGTCAGTCAGTCAGAGAAGTACTAAAAAAAATTTTACACGTGACGTAAAAAATTATTCGACTGGTGCTAGAACATAATTTAGATACACGTTTTTTAAATTTTTGACTTTAAATAAATATGCATTCTCAAAGAAAAACATTTAAAAAACAAAGTAATTAATTTATTTCTAGAAATAACAGCAAAATGAAATAGGTACATTGATTACTTATAGTTATTTACGAACGTTTCCAAATTAGGAGCTTTCGGTTTTTGTTTGCTACATTTAAGTTCTTGTTAATATTCTTTAAGGTATAATAAATTCTAACTTTTGCGTATAATTTTAACAAAAAATACATTATAGGAAAATGATATGGTATAATGAAAATAAAGATGGTTGAATTTAATTGTCTGAAATAATTTAACGAATTTACATAATATATTTTCATTTATAGAAAATTCTTCAATATTGTTCTGAAAAATAGCCTCCATTGAGGACACTAAATAAAAAAAGGGTCACTTGGCATTAGCAAGGCTCCAAATAAGTGGTCTTTATCGTTTTGAAAAGCTCTAAAGTGCGAATATACTTTTAAATTGAAAATTAAACAGACTATATTTTGAATTATTTCAATAATTATTTGTGCAACCAGCAGCCGCACATCCTGGAAAACCTTTTCCCATTCCAACAATAAAAATAAAATTGAAATAAAAGCACCAATACCTCTGGTTAAATACAAAAAGAAAAAAATCGAATTAATTAATCTTCGGTAATACGGCTCTACTCGCCACGGTGGAGGTTATGCATCGACTGAATGCGGCTGACTGTAGCTCGCTTAATTCAGTTAAGCATCGTCGGAGTGGGGCATTTTAAATTCGAGCGTGGGAAAAATTGGCGACTGTCCAAGCTATATTATTCTGTAAGCTGTGACTAAAGTCTATAAACCTGACTAAATAAAATGTTGGCAAAAATGATTAAATTTGTTGTATAATTTAAGATACCGAGCAGCCCTTCATTTTACTTTATAGAGCAAATGATTGTAACAGATATTTTATTTAGATTAAAGGTACAAAAATTAATTTAGACCGAATTTTATTACCGCTATGTTGGTCACATTCATTCATATAGTAAACGCCACGAATGTTTGGGAGTGATTCATCGCTTGATGAAGTTAGAATCGAAACGCGCGCTATCATTTTTACATTAAAAACGTTAATTTTTACCGCAGACGTAGGTTTTTAAAGGCCCGGTCTAATCATCTGCCTGCGCTCCTCCTACTTATTCTAAAATGTTAGCGTGAATGACAAAGACCATACTATATCGCGTTTCTTTGATTGATTCGTTTTTGTGCGTCAGTCCATTGGTGTACTTGCAGTGCGACCAATGGGGCATTCCAGTTTATATTTATAACCAAATATATGCTTTGACAAGACTTTGACAGTTAAAACAACCAATTAGAACAGATTATATATTGATTATTATATGACTTGAAACACCACGGCACTGGAATTAAGTTTTATGTGATCTTGAACAGATTAGTTCACATGGTAGCGACCGATGAGTCACTCCCAAACATTCGTGGCGTTTACTACATGTTGGTCCAGTCATTATTTTGTATAATATCGTGTTGTTGTTGAACCTTTGTGAGCAATTCTCGTTTTTTGCCTATTTTCGTAGTCTTTTTTTAAAAATTGCACTTTTAAGCACAAACAGTTCTTTTAAGAACTAAATTTTCGAGTTTTGGTATTGCATTTCTTGATTGTGTGTTGAAAATAGCTGAAGCATTTAAACAGTCGAAGCAAAAAGCTTGTAGGTTCCCTGATAAACAATTTGAACGAGAACGTGACAAACAGGTTCTTTATTACTCTTGGCTGTAGTTAGAGAAGTAAGTTTGATTGATAAGCACATTATACCACTTTCAAAGTTAGTTTTTATTAAATTCTGTGATTATTAGTTAGTGCATTAATAGCACCCTCTTACTTGTACCTCTTACTTACCCTCTTACTGTTACCTACTTACACCCTCTTACTAGCACCCTCTTACCACTTATGGCGTGGTAAGATCTACACCAATAAATAAATAACCCATAATAATGTTTAGAATCTTCATAATGGACTAGTTTTTGCCAATATGTAATAAGTAAAATAAGCTATAAAACAAATAAATCAATTAATTACTAAAATATTAGTTATTAAAATAAAAATAAAACGTAAAACTCTTTAAAAAATGATATAATATATTGTTTGTCAATTTTAAATTAAGATTCATCTCATAAATCCATCACAATCTGGCAGCGCTGTCGCCATCGCTTGTCACTCAAAGTTGTCACTCATCGCCTGTCATGTGCATCGGAAATTGTTTTGCAATTACCATAGTACAATATTTAAATATTAAAATCGCAATGACAGGTTACAGTCGCTGCGATTTAAAAATCGCAATCGCAGTTTCAATTGCGATTGGAGAATCGCAGTTTTTGCTCATCTCTATTGATTACTACCAAAAGTCATAGGCTGATATTTGCCACCACAAATCTGTTGATCGTTGTCTGTTATAGGGGGATCTACAGTGTGTTGCTGCTCTTTATCGGGACAATGAAAGTTTATTTTTTCAGAATCCGGCAATTCCCCAAATCCAGATCCCTCTTTGAATGAGCGACGGTTAGAGCAAGACGAGATTTTTGAGTCTGGCGAAGACTTTGCCATTTTCGGTCCCGACCCTAGTTTGATCCTGCAAGCCCAAACCTTCAGGAGTTTTTCGGCAAGACCGTCGTAATAGCCAGGCTCGACTCTGAGGGCGTTTTTCATATAATACATCGCTAGCAAGGGATTGCTACTTTCGTAGTGTAAAAGCGCTAGGAGAAAATTTGTACTGGGCTCGACGTAGTTGATTTTGAAAGCCAGGGTAGCGTACTTTAATGCTTGGTCCTGAAAAATAACGTTTATTTGACCTGTGATTGAACAATGAATAAAAATAATAATAATGAGAGTTCTAATATGGCTGACATTAATTCCTATTGATCAGTGGCGTTCAATTTTCTAAATGTTAAAATATTATACTAATAAGATACATTCTATAACTTGCTAGTTTTGTCTTACGTTGAGCCAATAAATAATAATAATAATAGCTCCCGTATATAGCGTTCAACGCCTTGGGAGTAGCAAGGTATAGATAGCTTGCCATACTAGAGCCGTTCGGTATACAAGGAAGGTAATGTGGCTAGCACTACGCTTCAACCGCCTATTATTACCTCAGGATTGTGAATCCTAAGTACTCATTTAAGGCTGAGTCGACCTAGGTACCTAAACTATTTTTATTTTAATAAAAATAGTCGGCTGATGCAATGCCGGGTGTGGGATTCGAACCCACCACCTTGAGATTGGTAGACGAGAGCCTGTACCTCTACGCCACCGGGCACCTTGAGTCAATAAATACTAATAATTATACAGGGTGAGTCTTAAATAAATGTAAATATTTCTAGGGGTAGTATATTTTTTTACATCAGAAACACGTCCATGAGTTTTTTTCGCGAAAAAATAAAAATTTTGAAAAAGATTTTGGAATTTGTTTTAATTTTTAGTTAAAAAACACGTCTTAATAATATGGCAACATATGTAGTGGATTAAATTTACCAGAAAGAAAACCCAGAAAAGATCTTGCTCTGAAAATTTAAACAAAAAATCATTTTTTTTTTAATTTTCAAAGTAAAATATCTCGGTTATTTTGGACTTATTTGAAAAACGGTAAAGAGAAAATATGTTTCTTTTATCAAGATCTACCAGGCGTAAATATATTTGCACTTATTTAACACTCACCCTGTATATAAAACATTTTATTCATACTAATATCTCATAAATACAGAAATAATTTAACTATATTTCATACCAATTAAACACTTAATTAGGTAATCGAGTGCGCGATTTTTAAATTCATTGTTGCCAACCATGGACATATTCAGCGCCGGGCTGACTAACTGGAATTTTCCCGCTGGGGATTCAGCTAAAAAATGTCAAGTTGCCACATTTATTTATTTACTTTCTGACACTTTTTTTGACACGTTTCGTTTTGGCACTTTAGTTTTTTATAACGAGTTTTTGGTTTAAATAAATAGTGTTGAGATACCTTTAAGCTTAAATATGTTTACTAACAGATCTTGTAGTCGAACACTACTCTTTTTAGAACCTCTTTTAGTGCGAAATGTTCAAGATATAATATAAAACAGCCGTAAAAAACTCATCGCAACTTTATTAGAATATTTTGAACGGGAAAGCGGTAGTAATGGCCCTTTATGTCTCTTAAGTGCTGTTAAGAAATTAATTTATTTTTGTTTCCTAAAATATTTTGATTAAAAGAAAATATATAAAAGTGGGCAACGCTGTGCCGGTCAAGCTTAATCACGTGACTCAAAGTTTTTTTTGGTATGAAGTGTAGGTAATTTAACATTTGGGCAATAAACAAAATTTACCTTAAATCCCATTTGGTTCATGACAGAGCTTAGCGACACCAAAACTACATCAGTTTGGTCCTTAGGAGCCCTCTGGAACGCCATTTCAAGACAATCCAAAGTTTTTCTAAGATTCCCTCTTACACGCCAATATAAGCCTGCTAAAGTGGCCAACACCCACTTTGGAGAAGTTTTCTGTCCAAAAAAATAAGATTCGTATCCAAGTTACTTTTTTCACAATTTTACAATACTGTTTTTTACAATAATGTAAAAAACTAGCTTTTTGCATGCCAAAATATACATTTTATGATAAGCTAAAAATGGTATATTATTCTTTGCTAATTATAAAACCTGTCCTTTAAATCCTTCAATTTAATAGCTGTGAGTAAGAAGTTTCACTTCAAATATGCGCACATAGTGTACACACAATTTTTTTTTCTATCTCGCTAATAGTTAAAATCTCATCTGCAAACCCAAAGTTTCAAGTTTCGATAGTAAATTAATTATTCAAACATTAAATATTAAAAACTGAAAATGAAGCCCAAATTTGTATAAAAAAATAAACTTAGTTTGTAACTCAAGTTGTTTAATCTACAGTTATTGTAATCACAAAACATTTTCCGATGCACGTCATCAATCATATCGACACTGACACTAAAGTCTATAAACCTGACTAAATAAAATTTTGGCAAAAATGTTTAAATTTGTTGTATAATTTAAGATACCCAGCAGCTCTTCATTTTACTTTATAGAGCAAATGATTTGTAACAGATATTTTATTTAGATTAAAGCTGCAAAAATTAGTATAAACCGAATTTTATTATCGCTATGTTGGTCACATATTGCGCCGTGTTCAGCGATGTTGTCCTTTATTTGACAATTATCCTAGTGTTAGTCATTATTTTGTATAATATTGTATTGTTGTTGAATCTTTGTGAGTAAATCTCGTTTTTTGACTATTTTCATAGTCTTTTTTAAAAAATTGCACTTTTAAGCACAAACAGTTCTTTTAAGAACTAAATTTGCGAGTTTTTGTATTGCATTTCCTGAAATTGTGTGTTGAAAATATGCCGAAGCATTTAAACAGTCCAATCAAAGAGCTTGTAACTTCCCTGATAAACTATTTTGAAAGAAAATGTGACAATAAAGGTCCTTTATTACCCTTGACCGCAGCCAGAAAAGTAAGTTTGATTGATAAGTAGATTATACCACTTTCAAAGTTAGTTTTTATTAAATTCTGTGATTATTAGTTTGTGCATTAATAGCACCCTCTTACTTGTTATTACCACTTATGGCCTTATGGCGTTGTAAGATGTACATCATTAAATAAATAACCCATAATAACGCTTAAAATAATCATCATAATGGACTAGTTTTTGCCAAAATGTAATAAGTAAAATAAGCTATAAAACAAATCAATAAATTAATCACTAACATATTAGTTATTAAATTAAAAATAAAACGTAAAACTCTTTAAAAAATGATATAATAAATAAGTTGTTTGTCAATTTTAAATTAAGATTCATCTCATAAATCCATCACAAACTGGCAGCGCTGTCGCCATCGCTTGTCACTCAAAGTTGATCACGTGCATCGAAAATTGTTTTGCGATTATCATACCTTGTTCATTGCACTAATTATTCTCTGCCCAATCTCATGCTCATCCGCCTTCCCATTGTTGACATATCTCAATAACTCCGCTTTTAAATACTCATCTCCCTTCATTTCGATATCCAACACATATTTTTCAGCAGCTGGAATAAATTTCTCCCCATTGACATTCTGACCTTCGCAAACAGGTGGATACCATGGAAGATCATGTTGAGCGCCCTCAGAAAGACCTAAATACTCGGAAAGAGCTTGTTTTAACCTAGAAAAATAAGTTATATTGTTAAAAATACATGAAAAAGTGATAAAATATAAAAATTATTACTGGTATCCTTTATTTTCTGGTGGTAAAAATACGGGTAAATTAAAATTATCTTTTTCTTCCAGAGGTAAATTCCATTGTGTGCACTCTTCTTTCTCTGGCCACCCAGTAACATCAAAGTACTGGTTGCCTAAAAAATACAACCAAATTTAAACAACCACTAATAAATTACGACACTATCGAAGAATTTCCTTCAATATAAAGGATTTTACAGTCAAATTACGTCGACTGGAAGGCTGAAAGATTTTTATCAAAAAAGAAAACAATAATAAGGTTTCTGGCAGTTTTGCACAATAAAAATTGATAAAACATGTAGTAGGAGTATTTATTATTTTTCCTACATCTATTTTTTTCACTTTAACGATGTTGCTGTCAAAAAGTCTGCAATTCGAAAGATTTTAACATTTAAGTCCATTTCACTAGTCCAAAAAAGTAGTAAAATAAGCGTTCGGCATTTAAAGTTATATGTAAAACTGGCTAGCTATTTTTACACAAATGAAGAAAAAAATTAAAGATAAAGGATTATATTATATCCGTATTGTAGCACATTTTTAGACAACTTCTTTATTTTTAAGATTTTGATGGGCAAACATCAACAAAATATTCCTTATGTTTAGACTAAATTTTCTCGAAAATAAAGACATAATTTAAAATTCCGTTACAATACGAAATAGATTGAAGTTTTGTGATTACAGTGATGTATAATTTATATAGTTTTGTAACAAATTGCTAGCTATTTTATGACAAATGCTGAAGCTCTGCAAACTTTAATCAAGCCTTACTCAAAGCACGTTTGTTTGGAATTTTGGGTGTTGCTTAACACGACAGGATCGGGCTAAGCTTTAGGCAGATTTCTGGAATATAATATATATTTCTTTCGGCCACACACTCGCTTTACCCGACCCCTGAGGGCGACCCGAAAGTAAAGCATAATAGACTCTTAACAAAAAATTAATAGATACATTTTTATCTTTCTACAAGTCTTATTACACATATACAATATCTAAACCAAAGTTCTTCATGTTGAAATGAAATAAATAGGTATACGGAAAACATATCTAATAAGTCATCACATCATGGCGTGTTGCACGATTAATTATTTTCGGTTCAAGCAGTCATTGTAAGCAATGAATTTTTTGAAACATACTTTATAATACTGCTGTCGAGTATCTGTTACGGCACTTTTGATCGTGTTATTTTTTATAAAAAAAGTTTTATTAAATAAAAAGTTAAAAAAAATAAAAAAAAATAAATAAAAAATAGGTAAAATACACGAAATTTGGTGATTTTTCCCAAAATTGATAAAGTTATTAAAACTAGTTATAATCATCTGCTGCTGATGCGAACATGGTCAGCGAAAAGCGCAAAGTGTTTAGTATACTGTGGTGAATCAGTGTTTTATTTTGCTACATAAAATTTACAGTTGAAGGTTGGAACTTTTGGTGTTACACAGCAAAATAAAAACACTAAATCACCACAATACACCAAAACACTTTTACTTTTACACTGGACGCGCGTTTCGCTAACCATGTTAGCATCATCAGCAGATGATTATAAACTCAGTTCAATATCAGTTTATAATCATCTGCTAATGATGCTAACATGGTTAGCAAAACGCGCGTCCAGTGTAAAAGTAAAAGTGTTTTGGTGTATTGTGGTGATTTAGTGTTTTTATTTTACATAAAATTTAAAAAAAAACAGAAAATCTGTTATGGAGCTCTATATCATTTAACCATTTCATTTAAAAAACTGACATAAAATCTACACATATATTTGATACCAATTAAACTTTTAGTTACGTAATCGAGGGCGCAATTTTTAAATTCATTGTTTCCAACCATGGACATATTCGGTGCCGGGCTGATTAACTGGAATTTAAATTTTCCGCTGGGGTTTCAGGTGGCAGCTCTGATATAAAAAATGTCAAGTTGCCACATTTATTTATTTCCTGGCACTGTCATTCGTTTTGATAGTTTAGTTTTGAAATATAAGTTTTTGGTTTAAATCTTTGGTTTAAATAAATAGTGTTGTGATACCCATAGATAAAGGAAATAAATTTAGATTGGAAAGCCCCTCAAATATATAATTGTTTTGGATCACGACCGTTGTACGCGATCTGGCGCTGCTATAGCGGCTGCAACCGCTGCTAACCGCAAACAATAACAGAAATAATTTTCTCTTGTCAAAGTGAGAATCTTTAAAAATTATAAAAACTTCTAAAATTTAAACCGCCCTCATTGAAAAAATACCAAAAAGTTTTTAAAGCGTCTATTCTCAAAGTAATTATTGCTATCTTGTGAGTTTAATTTAAATTTTACTTACTCAAACCCGTGACAATTGTGAAAAAGTGGCATTAAAAACTAAAAAACTGTGTTGTGAACTGTGAACCAGGCCCTAGACACTTGAATGGTAATTTTATGGAACTACGAATTTAGTTTCTTCCGCATCGCCAGACGGCGCAAAAGACATTAAAGTACAGATTTCTAATTTATATATGAAGATGACATAACAGCCTCTATATTCACCACCATCTATGGTCTAGTTTTGGTTTAGTTGTCAAAATGTTGGTGTTCCGTGAAGTTATTTTTAAAACATTTTTAAATAATTATTAATTCAGATATTTCTGATTTGCCGGAAAGTTCGGTAATTTGTGTTTATAGTTTGTATTTTTATTAGTTTGTGCATTTTGATATTTACAGTCGATCATCATTTTCGTGTGAGATTCTTAACTTTTTTTAGTAAAGACATTTTAGACATCTTAGATTAATAATACATTTATAAACTAAATAAAAAAATGTTTAATCATAAATAAGTACGTACATAGTTTAGTATTTTTAGTAACAGTTAATTAGTAGTCTATAATATTTTTACTATATTATGATTTGCTCTATTGTTGGTGTTTAAAATGTATGTATTCATAATTTTATTTTTAATTTTGAATATGTTAGACTTCTAATGATCTAATACAACATAAAATATAGTAAACAAGTCTAAATTTATTATATTTTACAAGGAATAATTTTGCGCTTGAATAACGTTACCGTTTTTGTTAGCGTTAATAAATAACAAAACGCTAAAATTATGTTATGCCAAAACTCTCCATTATATTCTTCCGGATCACCAAGTGGCTCTAAATGACGGACATATTTGTTTTATATCAGTGTCCAATCTATCTGTAGTACGTGACATTATTGCAAAAACCATCGTGGATCGTGGCATAACGTCGGTTTCCAATGTTTCATAGATATTTTATACATGTCCTTATATAAAATAAAGTTTCTTGTATGCATCACACTGTATTTTATTTATAAAATTAAAAGAAAATAATAATAAATTTGAATAAACAATATTTGGCGACATAATTCCGGAAAAAGCCGAACCGATCCAAAATTATCAAAAGCTTTGGCTCGCGACCGTTGCAAGAATAGCGCCAAATAGTGTTTACATTGTCCTTATCGGCACTTTCCAATCTAAACTTGTTTCATTTATCTATGGGGATACTTTAAGCTTAAAAATATTTACTAGAAGACCTTGCAGTCGAACATTATTCTTTCTAGAACCTCTTTTAGTGCAAAGTGTACAAGATAGCTTAATTGCCGTAAAAAATTCATCACAACTTTATTAGAATCTTTTGAACGGTAAAGTGCTGGTAGTAATGGCCCTTTACATCCCTTAAGTACCGTTCAGAAGGTGAGTTTTGTTGATGGAAATAATAACCGTTTATATATTTATAAGTAATTTATTTTTGTTTCCTAAAATATTTTGATCAAAAGAAAATATGTAAAAGTGGGCAACACTGTGCAGGTCAAGCTTAATCACGTGACTAAAAGTTTATTTGATATGAACTATAAGTTACCTTTTGTTGACATTGTTGTGGGAAACTTGGCATAAACCATGTCAAAACCCTTTTCTTTTGAATCTTTCTTCCCTTCCTGTTTATTTAAATTAAAATTGTTATTGCTTGCGTGCAATTTGTGTTTTTCATTCTCCACAATCTGATACAGGTTTTGCAGATTTAGAGTGCCTACATCGGGTGATTTTTCGTAGAAATCGCATGAAATAATCGGTTTATCGCCAATAGTTTTCTTAATACACCTCTGGATTTTTTTAGGTGCTTGCAGCATTTCGGGAGCTGTATCATAATGCAAGTCAAATGAAGCATGCTCCCACATAAGCCGTTCTTGAAGACGCAGCCATTGCTGTTGAATGCTGTGGTAGTCGTGAAGAGCAGTTAAAATGCTTTGTAAATCGCTAAAAGTAATCGTATAATTTATCATGCATTTTTCCAAAAAAATCCTTTATGGGTATTTCGCCACTGCACTGCAAGAAAATCTACAAAATAAAATAGTTATTTTTTGTAAACACTTCTGCGTTAAACCTAAACGGACGCTGCTTGTCAGAATTATGTTTACAGTAATACAAATTTACCTAACAAAGAAAAATTGCTTAATGTTTCGGAAAGTTATCTCTTTCCAAAAAATACAAAGAATAAAGAAAAAAACTATTTAAAATATTTAAATTCAACTATTCGAGAACGCTTTACTTTTTGAAAACAGATACGTCTACAAGAAACCGTTGACGTTCTGTTAAAATGACATTATATCAAGTTAAACTTCAAAATTAACAATTACTACCTGATAACAATTACCTAATAAGGTAAAACCAAAAAGCCCCAAACTTTCTGTATGTTTATTTTTAAATTTTACGTATGTTATGTTCTTTAAAATCAAAGAAGCGATTGCCGTACATTACTAACATCTACAGATGCATGAGCAACACGCTTATTTTTATTAGATTGAATTAAAAAAATTGGCGCCGGGAGCCACGTATAGCCGCCCATACTAAAATATGTCAATATCTCGAAAACTGCGACTTTGACTGATTTTGATGTTATTAAAAATTTTGTTGCAAATATTATTCCTAATCTTAATTTGAAAACCGCGTTTCGCTAGCTACTGTAATTTTGGAGTTACGATTTTTTTAAATTTTTAACCCCCTCCTATACCCCCTTACCAACCCCCCACCCCCACAAAACTAATGGCCAGATTCTCGGGTGCCACAGTATTTTTGTGCCAAATTTGGTTAAAATCGGTTCAGCGGTTTTTGAGTTATCGTGTTACAGGCGGCAGACGGACAGACGGACAGACAGACACGAAAATATTTTGTATTTAGGTCATTTATGACCCAAATAACTCATTTTGAGTAAAATTAAAAAAAAAAAAATTGCCGATCCTAATAGCCTACCATATACCTATTGGTATGGTCGGCTAAAAACCTCTTTTATTTTTCTTTTAGAGGCTATCGCTTCTTTCATTATAATTTTGGCGTTATTACCAAACCGTTTACCAAACCAATAGGTATGGTAGGCTATTAGGATCGGCAAAAAAAAATTTTTTTAATTTCACTCAAAATGAGTTATTTGGGTCATAAATGACCTAAATCACAGAATATCTAGCTACGCAAGATAGAACACAACGCGTAGCTAGATATTCTGTGCCTAAATACAAAATATTTTCATGGTGTCTGTCTGTCTATCTGTCCGTCTGTAACACGATAACTCAAAAACCGCTGAACCGATTTTAACCAAATTTGGCACAAAAATACTGTGGCACCCAAGAATCTGGCCATTAGTTTTCGGTGGGGGTTAGGGGTTGGTAAGGGGGTATAGGAGGGAGTTAAAAATTTAAAAAAATCGTAACTCCAAAATTACAGTAGCTAGTGAAACGCGGTTTTCAAATTAAGATTAGGAATAATATTTGTAACAAAATTTGTAATAACATCAAAATCAGTCAAAGTCGCAGTTTTCGAGATATTAACATATTTTAGTATGGGCGGCTATACGTGCCCCCCGGCGCCAATTTTTAAAATTTATTCTGTGCCCTGTGTCCCATGAATGCTGACTAATCTTAGATTTCTGAAAATCTCCCTTTCTTAAATAACCTTTATGTTCTTTAATTCTAACTTTTAAGGGTCTAGATGTTTCACCAATGTAAAATTTATCGCATTCACAGGGTATTTGATAACTTTCCGAAACGTTAAGCATTTTTTTCTTTGTTAGGCAAATTTGTATTACTGTATACATAACTTCTGACAAGCAGCGTCCGTTTAGGTTTAACGCAGAAGTGTTTACAAAAAATAACTATTTTATTTAGAGTGGAAAGAGTGGCATCTGCTGTCGACACTCTGGTGAATTATTTCAATAATAATGGCTTGACATTAAATATTTCAAAGACACAATGCCTTCTTTTTGGTAATCGGAAGTTTTCAGATTTTGAGCTGATGTATAATAATATTAAAATTAATTCAGTTAAAAGTATAAGGTTTCTGGGAGTGGGAATTGATGAACGACTGGACTGGAGAGGACATATTGAAACCGTGGCGGTTAAAATTGCACAATTTTCTTTTGCGCTGAGGATAATATCAGACGCTGTTGGGGTAGATGCTGCACTTTCAGCGTACTATGCATTTATCTACTCAAGGATAAAGTATGGCATAATATTTTGGGGAAACTCGAGCGATATCGGGAGAATTTTGCTTTTGCAAAAGAAATGCATACGTTCAATATTTAGAATGAAACCCACGGAGAGCTGTAAAAATTATTTTATTGAACAAAAAATACTAACAATAACAAGTATATATGTTGTAGAGTGTATAATGTTTGTTTATGATAACTGGCAATTTTTCAAAAATTTGAAACTAACTCACAATTACCCTACGCGAAATAAGTCCTATTTAGTCGGAGATAAATATAATTTTAGCTACCTACAAAAAAATGTTGATTTCTCATTAATAAAAATGTACAATTTCCTTCCCGAATGTGTTCGAGGTTTGGCAAGAAACAAGTTAAAAGCCACATTAAAAATCTTTCTAGCAAAGAAAGCCTTTTATTCATTAGAAGAATTTTACAGATCCGATAAAGCTGTGTTTATAAGTCTGATATCTAATGTGTAATATTTGTTGTTTGTATATATTAATTCTATCGTTTTTTATTTCTTCTATGTATTTGCTTATTTTACTTAGTTAAAATCTTAGTTTAATTGTAGTATTATCTTAACTGTAATTATATTATTTTGGTGTAAAATATTCTTATTTGACAATGTTTCCATACCTGTTTGGGCTATTTTATGTGTTTTTATTGTAAACATTGGAAATAAATAAAGAAATATCTATCTATCTATCTATTTTGTAGATTTTCTTGCAGTGCAGTGGCGAAATACCCATAAAGGATTTTTTTGGAGAGATGAATCCACCACTTAGGTATAGACATTTTTTACAATTCAAGCATTTTTATTAAGCAAATGTCAAATCAAAAAATTAATTCAATGTCAATTTTTAAAGCTAATTTTAAAAATTCCGTTACTACCTCATAAAACAAAAATAGCTAGTAGCTCCTAGAATAAAAAACTTGAGAATTCTGTTTAAGTGCAAACCTAAAGTATGTACCAGGATGTATTTCGGGAAAATATTTTAACTTCTCAAAAAAGTGTGAGTGAATCGGGAGGATTTTTTTTAAACGGAACACCCTGTATATTATTGCATTTTTGGCTCCCTTTTAGATCACTTTACGTAATCCTAAGACATGAGTAAATATATTTCGATAATTTCAGAGATATTAATAAATAAATAAAAATTATATATTTTTCAGCCTTAAATTTTTATTTATTAGCAATACAAGAATTGTCCTGAAATCAAAACTATAATAGGTATTTACTTTAGATGGGCTGTTCTTACTTTGCTATAAATATTGTAATCGTAAATAAATACAGGATGTTCAAAATTCTACGCCAAACTTTCTAAAATATAAAATAATGTTTCTTGATTTTTTTAACTGGAACACCCTGTATATTATTTTTTCAATAGATGGAGAATAAAAAAATGAGCATTTTTTGTATTTAGAGTATTTGAAAATTTTTAACAGTTTCGCAGATATTCGCGGTTTTATATTTCATATGGCATTTTCCACAGTAAATTTTTATCAAAGCCACCCAATGATTTTTCTCTCGTATTTTAGCATTGAAAGCGCCATATAAAATAATACTGCGTATATCTGCAAAACTATTAAAAATTTTGAAATATTTTAAATATAAAAAATGTTCATTTTTTAACTCTCCATCTAACAAAAAAATAATATACCGGGTGTTCCATTAAAAAAACAAAGAAGAAATATTTTATATTTTAGAAAGTTTGTCATAGAATATTGAACATCCTGTATAATTTACGATTACCATATTTATAGCAAAGTAGGAACAGACCATCTAAAGTAAACACCTAATAATAAATAGTTTTGATTTCAGAACAGTTCTTATATTTTAATTTTTTTTTTAAAGGGCTGAAAAATATATATTTTTGATTTATTTTTTAATATCTCTGAAACTATCGAAATATATTTACTCATATCTTAGGATTACGTAAAGTGATCTGAAAGGAAGCCAAAAATGCAATAATATACATGGTGTTCCATTTAAAAAAAAATAACCAGATTCACTCACATTTTTTTTGACCACCCTATAGAAGTTAAAATATTTTTCTGAAATACATCCTGGTACATAATTTAGGTTTGCAATTAAACAAAATTCTCAAGTTTTTTTGTTCTAGGAGCTACATATGCCCGACGCACTATTTTTTTTGCCGTGCCCTGTAGAAAGGGTCGCTGATACCTACATATGTATATAAAAAAGTTATAGAGTTTTTAAATGTCTATTAGCTATATAGTAGTAAATTTAAGTATACAGGATTGGTCATAAAGTTGTGACACATTAAAATTATTTTTTTTAAATGCAACTCACTGTATATTATTGAATATTTCACCGTTCCCATACATATCAGCGACCCTGTATATAATTTTATTTATAATTAACTACAGTTTTATCACGAACTTACCTTTGAAATGAGGTAAGAGCTTTTTCCAGTTTATAATAACACAAAACGGCATGCCTGTTATTGGCTGCATCTTTATTTGATGGCTGCAGTTCCAAAAGTTTATCATAAAACATGACTGACTTGTTGAAATCCCTCATTGAAGCGTAGATATTGCCCATAGCAAAATAATGAATGTTTTGCTTGGGAGCCAACTGAATTGCACTGTTTAAAATTTGAGTAGCTTCTTTGGAATGATGAGATTGATGCAGTATACCTGCCAGGTTGTGTAGTGGTATATCTTGAAAATTCCTATAAATATACGGGGTGAGCCTTAAATAAGTGCAAATATTTTCAGGGGTGGTATATTTCGACCCCAGGAACACGTCTATGAGGTTTTTTTCGCAAAACAAGATGTTGAAAATCGTGCGTTTTCTTTTAAATTTCCCTGTATATTTTTCGAAAACTTTTTAGAACTGCCTATTCACCGCATATTTTTCTACGGTATAATTTCTTAATCTCTGATATTACCATAGTTACAGCTTTTCTCTATGGTTACGGCCCTAAAAGGGATGCAAATACAAAAAAATCCGGTGGCTCTCAAAATTTTTCCAAAAAAAATCATTTTTTTTTAATTTTCAAACTTAAATAACTCGGTTATTTTGGACTTATTTGAAAAATGGTAAGAGAAAATATGTTTCTTTTATCGAGATCTACCAGCCCTGAAAATATTTGCACTTATTTCAAACTCACCCTGTATAATAATATACCGGACTGTATTCGGGAAACTTTGGCAGAATATTCTGCAGATAAAAATAAGTAAAAAAGTTCGTATAAGTGTATGAACTAAAGTTATTAGTTTCAGAGATACAGGGTGTAGAAGTTTCATTTTCATTTCGATTTTTTCCAAATAATTTCTGAAGTAACGTCAATATTTGGTTGAAAATTGGTATCTGGAAGTTTTTTGACATGAGAAATTTGACTCCTACTGGTAGGGGGTGCCACCTACATATGTTTTAACTGTTTTGAAGCATGATAACTTTTTGTTCGTACCTGTATAAAACTACAGAGGGAAAAGATATACATTTCTGCGAATTTTTACGCAAAAAATATCTCTTTGTAAAAATCGCTACGAGCAACCGTTCCCAAGATATTTAGAATGGAAATAGTCAATACATGTCATTATTGACAAAAAATAAACACGTTGAGTAGAGATATAGGGGGGGGGGAAATTTTATTTTTTTAAATTAATCATAAATTTTCTGCAAAAAATGATAAAACAGTTTCTGTTGAACTTTTGGCACAAAAACTTTCAAATTTATGATCTCAGTCTAATAACTATTTCGTCATGTTTAATTTCTGTCAATGATGACAGGTATTGATAATTTCGATTCCAAATATCCCGAAAACCAATACTCGTAGAGGTTTTTACCAAGAGACATTTTTTACGTAAAGAACGTCGCAAATGTATATTTTTTTACTCAGTAGTCCTATACAGGTACGGACGAAAAGTTAATACTCTTCAAACCAGTTAAAAAATATGTAGGTGGCGCCCTCTACTAGTAGGAGTCATACTGACAGAATCAAATTTCTCATGTCAAAAAACTCCCAGACACCAATTTTCATCCAAATAATGACGTTGCTTCAGAAATTATTTGGAAAAAATCGGAATAAAAATGAACCTTCTACACCCTGTATATTTTATACGAACTTTTTTACTTATCTTGATCTGCAGAATAAGCTGCCGAAGTTTCCGGAATACAGTTCGGACCACCCTGTATACAGGGTCAGAGCTGTAACAAGTCAGTTTTAAACAGACTTAAGTTTTAAGTCTTAAGTCATTATTTGACTTAAGTCTTTTTTTACTTAAATCATGATAATCTGCAAGTTAAGTAAGTAAAATTACTTAAATAAATATAATTTCCCTCAAGTCATGACAACCAGAACTCAATTTAAATACCTATTTTTTAAATGTTAATATTAATTTTCTTGTACTATTACCCATTACCAATTTTTTTTTCTATAATACTTATTAAAATATTATACCCTATTATAGAAAAAAATATATCATAGTAACCATTTTGTGGAGAGATTCTTCCCGTAAAAATGAGATTTATATTTTATATCAACATAGGGTCCACTTTTATTTGTTTTGTATCTAAGGGGGTATAATTTTTTTTTTCTCGATTTTTTAACTATCTTTCAAGTGTTATTAGCGATTTGAATGAAATTTTGAGGGTAAAGTTACTATGAGTGCGACATAGTAAGGAATCTCCCCACAAGAGATGGCACATATTTTTTGAAACACCCTGTATAATACATATAGAAATATTATATCATATTATCGAGAAGAAAAAGTGTCATAGTAGCCTTCCTTAATAACTTGAAAATTGCTATAATACATATTGAAGTACAATATGATCGAACAAAAAACGCGTCAGCGATGGCTATCAAATAAAAATTGCTGTCAAATTGTAAAATGTAAAATTATACGCAGAATGTCATCGATCGTCATTTCCAAGACAACTGGACGCCGTTTTTTTTTCGATCATACGGTATTATACCATATTATCGAGAAAAAAAAATGTTCTAGTGACCATCTTTGATAACTTGAAACTGCCTATATTCAATGCATATTGAAATAATACCATATTATCAAAAAAGAGTGTTTTTTGAAAACATAAAAACTCCTATAACACATATTGAAATAGTATCCTGTAAAATAGAAAAGGTGTCATAAGCGGCCCTCACAATGAGGATCAATAATATTGTCAAAAATTTTTTGATTATTGACAATATTATTGAGCGTTTAAGCGTACATATTGATGTACTTTCAATATATTGATGGACCCTGAAAATCCTCGACAATATTAACGGCGGAGCTAGTCGTATTGACAATATATTGATCGTTAGGTCGCATGATTGACAAATTTTGACTAGTTTATTCGTAACCATGGCGGAAGACGGAACATCGCCGTCGTTGTTTTCACCAGTTTTAGATCGCAATCGTCAGGCTCCTGTTTCTTAACGTACTCTAGAAGATTTAGTTGGCCAAACCTTTTTCTTTTTGATATCCATTTTTTTATCCAACGCCTTTCCTTAAATTTTTTCCTCGATTTTTTCTCACTTACATATGCCAAAATGCCAAAATGACACACTTTTTTTATCTTTCATTTTTTGGCATAGGGTATAATTCACACTTAATATCTGCACAAAACTTAATATTGATATATGTATTGACCGTGTCAGGCCGCCTTTCAAATATTGATGAAACATTGACAATAAAAAACATTGACAATATTATTGATCGTGTGAGGGCCGCTTTAGACCTATGATAATTTTCAAAGGCTACTGTGATCTTATGGTACTTACCCTGTAACAAATTGAATGGCTAGTTTCAAACAGTCGATTGCTTTATCACCTTCACCCTTTATTCTCCAATAGAACGAGGCTAAATTGTAATGGACCCATGAAGTTGAATTCTTTTGCAAAGACGATACCAAATAATTTCCAAAATGATCCAACGACTTAACAGGCAAAAAAGTCTTCCTTAAAGCTTCTTCCGGTTTGATAGCTATATTAGTTTTGTTCACTAACGATTCCGACTTTTTTATATTGGTAAAATTTATACAGAGTGGAACAAGTTGTTCTTTATCATTTGACTTTTTATCTGAGTTAATCTTTTTAGGTATAGAAATTTGAACTCCCCGTTCTGAACCATTCGTAGCAATGTTATTGTACAAATCTAACTCAGAAAAGAATTTATCAGCAGCAAGACAATCCACGTCTTCCGACGTTACTTTAACGCCAATATCAGAGTTTTTCTCTATATCCACCCATTTACTTTCGATAGAAATTTTGCGTTTGATTAGATCCTCGTGGAGATCATTTATATCGTTTCTTCTGTTTTCTTGATCTAACAAAGCCAACAGGTCATGAGGTCTTCGCAAGTCAAACGGCGATTCCAGCTAGAATATTAGAAATATAAAAAAATATTAATTTAATCTAAAGCCCCCTCTAGACATAACATTTATCATGTCACTTTCATTTAAGAAATTTCGTAGATATCTTATTTAAGCTTTTAAAATATTGTATACAGAAATATAACCTTCAAAACTAAAAGAAAATAAGTTTTTTTCTTACGTAGGCTTGTATTTTTCCTGTCTGGGTAACTATCCAGTGATTAACAGCAAATAATTGAGCGAATCCATTAAAAATTAAACAGAGAAGCATTAAAAATTTACGCATAATTACCAATTTTTTATTTTATACTTGATTAAAAGGAAACAGTATCATCTTTTTTGACAACCGAAATCAATAATCAATATTTGTAAACAAACAAGTAGATCTAAATTCGGCAACCAAATATACACCAAAAATTAAACCAGGTAAATTACAGAGAGACAGAGTATTTAGTTTATTATTATTGATTTGATTTAATTCAAAGAACAGGGGAAAAATAAAAGTTTAAATCGCACAAGCTTTATTAAAACTCTGTAACTCGATAAACTTAACGTAGTTTACACATAGAATAAATGAATCAATTAATACCTATTTATTTAATTTTCTTTTGACTTTTGAATCAAACAAGGGACTGACTATTTTAAATAGATAATTTTTCAGTATAACATCATGTTTTTCATTTTAATATATACAAAATCTGTGTTTTATTATTTTATTTTGTTTAAATACAGTAATTTCTTTACTAATCATAGTGTTCACAATAACTTTGTTTATCAAAATTTAACAACTTTTTGTATTTAAATCTCTTTCCTTGTCTAAGATTTAAATAAAGATTTAATATTGCACTTACAAGAACCTTAATAAATATGTTATCTATGAGAGTTTAGACCTAAAATACCAAAAAGTACCAAAATTTAAAAATAGCAAAAGGAAAATTAAATAGAGTTAATTCTTTGACAAACAAAGGGTACAAAAATTATTTAAGCTTCCCTGAAGCCAGGTGCTAAATAAGGTACTACAACGCATGCGCGCGCAATTGTACTTTTCTATAAAACCAACGGTCACCCTTATTTCGGCGCTCAGTTTCTTTTGTCAGTGTGTGGTGCGAAGTTACATGTTAATAATATGGATCTAGCGTGCGCCGAAACGTCAAACAGATGCATACGAGCTGTCAGAGACCGAGCGATTTTCGACGACGAGAGGGTGATAAATAACTTGTTGAACGATGAAATTTTCTACATTCCGACTTGTGATTATTTTACGGAGGTTCAAAACGATATTCAGCCGTTCATGAGGAAGGTTGTCACTACTTGGATGCTGGAGGTAAGTGTTTCAACGACATTCCACAGGTTTCCATTTGACAGAAAAGGCGGTTAAGCTTTCTAAATTTTCTCAAATTAATACCATTGTTTCTCTTGTTATACTTATTAATTTATCTATTCAAGAAATTATTTTGTGAATATATATTGTCATACATCTGGTAGCTAATTGTTCTACATGAAATTATATAGAAAGGAAGAGTTTTTGAAAAAATAGCGAACTTTTTACCAGTTGCCATTTTGATTTTTAGTACCTACCGGTTCAAAACATACTTGATTTTCTTATTTATTCAATTTTAATACATTTCTGTATGTCTATCAAGAGTAGGAAAATGTTATAGCTAATTAAGAAGTACCTAACTATATACTATGTTGAAAAAATATTTGTACTTGTAATACAATAATAACTAAATTGTGCTTTCGGTACACTTATCGTTGAAAGGATAACGCATTATTTCTTTCCCAACTTCCATGATGTTTATATTGTGATTCGTGGAAATGTTCTTTTACTTGTACCGCCCCAGAAAGATCAACAAGTTTAACATTGTGACAATCTCCCACTAACTTCCGGCCATATGATTTCCATTCATACTTCAGACATGCTTCAGACGTATACCGGGGTTACTTAATAAGTTCAGAAAAAAATAAGTTATAAAAAAGTTTTTTTTTTGATTTTCTACGTAATATTTTCTTAGGTGTGCGAAGAGCAAATGTGCGAAGAACAGATTCTTCCCCTGGCCGTGAACTACATGGATAGATTTCTATGCGTTTGCCGAATCAGGCGTCAGCATTTGCAGCTTCTTGGAGCCACATGTTTGCTGATAGCTTCCAAATTACGAAGTACAAATTTCCTGCCAATTGATCTGTTATGTGCCTATACTGATTACAGTGTTACCTATGAGCTTGTAGCGGTAAGTAAAATATATTTTTTTGTAATATTGGGCATAATAAATGGATTATGTCTTGGCTTGGCGTGTAACAAAAGGTTACTGTTTATATCCATTTAGGATCTTTGTGTGTCTAATTTCCTGGCTAGGTAGCTGAATATAATCTTCATTAATTCATGATAAAATTACAGTCAAACTAAAAAAAAATATTTTATTAGTCTAGGAAATATGTTCCGTTTTGGTCTATTTTTAGTACTCAGATCTTTGTTAAAGAATATTCAAGATGCAAAAACTGTGAGAACTGTTTCAAAAATAACTTTGCAGATTTGTTTTTTTACTTCAAGACTAGGTCTTAAAAATATGATTTTCGATGTAGATATTGGACTCAATTGTTTTATCTTTCAGTAATTATTATTATGTATGTAATAGGTACAAGTTATTTTAGAAAATTGTTGGGTAACTTTGTCTAGAAAAAAAAATCTTCTAGTGGGTGCCAATAAAGCTACAGTAGTAGAAGTTTTCATAGGAGATAAACTTCAAATTGTTTAAAATTTCTTGTGTTTTTATATTTTCTCGTTAGTTAAAAGTAAATGAATTTTAATATTGAATTATGTGCTAACAGTACATTAAGTTCATATCAAATTAACTTTTAGTCACGTGATTAAGCGTGACCGGCACAGCGTTGCCCAATTTTACATATTCTTTTCTTTTCATCAAAATATTTTTTGAACAAAAATAAATGATTATAAATATATAAACAGTTATTATTATTCTCAACAAAATTCACCTTCTTAAGGGATGTAAAGGGCCACTACTACCGCTTTTCCGTTCAAAATATTCTAATAAGGTTGTGATTAGTTTTTTGCAATGGCTATTAAGCTATCTTGTACACTTCGTACTAAAAGAGGTTCTGAAAACTACAATGTTCGACTGCAAGGTCTGCTAGTAAACATTTTTAAGCTTAAAGTATCACAATAATATAATTCATTTAAACCAGAAACTCGTAATACAAAACTTAAGTGTCAAAGCGAATGACAATGTCAGGAAATAAATAAATAAATGTGGCAACTTGATATTTTTTGCAGCAGAGCTACCACATGAATCCCCAGCGGGAAATTTGAATTCCAGTTAATCAGCCCGGCGCCGAATATATCCATGGCTGGCTACAATGCATTTAAAAATCGCACCCTCGATTACGTAATTAAAAGTTTAATTGGTATAAAATATACTTTTAACATTAGTGTTACAAAATGACATTTTAGACACTGAAACACTGAAGACATATCTGTAACACTGGCTTTGGTTTAAAAAGAATATATAAAGATTTACTATGAAACTGATAAAACTTTCTAAAAGTTTCTTCTCTTCATCTTTTTGAAAATGACACATTGACGTAATTTTAAATTTTCAAAACTTAAAATATTTAAGTGGGAATAACGATTTGTCTGGTCCAGACTCCAGACACATACAGCATTAAATTTAATAATTTTAAAGATTACTGGTAGGTACCTGTTAATTGATCCTGTGAGAAAATGACAAACTAACCATAACACCAAAGCTGCTTAATATAAACGTTTGGGCTTTGAACCCGAAACAAGGCTCTGTGAATGATTTAAAATTCAAAACTAACTGTTTGACAAAGTCAGGTAGCGCCACTATAGCAAAAGGGTAGCGGTTCCCACAGATAAGTTTACATAGGAAAATACCTAGGTATTTCAGCAGCATCCGACATTAACACTTTGGGTAAGAATAAACAGTTTAAGGGTCGGCGTCTTCCTCAAAGGGTAGACTTAATTTTACAACCAATATATTTTAAATATTATGAAAATGCTTATGATTTTTTTGTAGACTGGAAAAAGTTCCCATGAAATGAGGAGGGTGTGTTTATAAGCGTTTTACTGTTTTTAGCAATCCTTAAATTAGACCAGAAAAGTAAACTCTTGAAAAATTCTTTGTTATCAATCGTGGACATATTCGGCGCCTGGGCTGGAATTTAAATTTCCCACTGCTGGTTGTAGGCGGTAGCTCTGCTGTAAAAATGTCATTTTGCCACATTTATTTATTTATTTCCTGATATTGCCATTCGTTTTGACGCTTTAGTTTTGTATTACGAGTTTCTGATTTAAATGAATTGTTTTGTGATACTTAAGCTTAAAATTTTTTACTAGCAGACCTTGCAGTCGAACATTGTTCTTTTTAGAACATCTTTTAGTGCGAAGTGTACAAGATAACTTAATCTTAATAGTCGTAAAAAACTAATCGCAACTTTATTAAAATATTTTGAACGGGAAAGCGGTAGTAATGGCCCTAAGATAAAGGGCCATTATTCTCAGGATTTTAGTGCTATTAAGGAGGTTAGTTTTGTTGGTGTACTTATATAATAACTGTTTATATATTTATAATGAATTTATTTTTGTTTCCTAAAATTATTTTGATCAAAAGAAAATATATGCTGTGCCGGTCAAGCTTAATCACGTGACTACAGTTTATTTAATATGAACTATACATATAGTCTGTAAAACGAATAACTTTGAATTTGACAGTTCCCGCGGGCTTTTCTAGTGTTAATTTTATTACGTTAGCACAAATATGTTTAAAATAAAGTATACAGAGGGTACCGCTTAAATTCCTGTCCCGATATTGAAGGATGGCTATAGAATTTCAATGCATTTCCTACATAAGTCTATCCTTGTGTTGTAGGAGGTTTGACTAAACAAGGATGAACCTATGTATTGAAACCATTCGACTCGATCTGTCTCCTTTTCTGTCCTCCTTCAATACTGGGACGTAAATCCTCTCATTGCTCTTATGGGGAGGCCGTCGTATATTTTTTTTAAACGTTTTTGGGTTAGCAAAAGGGTTAGCAACTTGCGGTCATGCTGACGCAATGCCGTCTCTAATAGAACAGCCTAGGAGCGAGATTTATGACGTCACGCTAGTTAGATACTAAATTATTTAATAAATATATGATAATGATAATGATTAATAAATATGTTGTAGAATACATGGAAAACATAATTATTCCTCATATTTTTGGTTTGTATTTTAAAAATGATATAGTTTACATGAAATATACATAATATACAGTTAATAAATACAATATATATATATATATATATATATATATATATATATATATATATATATATATATATATATATATATATATATATATATATATATATATATATATATATATATATATATATACCTATTTATAGTAATAAATACTTTGGCAGATAAAACTATGAGCAATACAAATGCAGCAAATGTTTTACAATATGGCTGAAATCGTACTCCATAGTCAATGTAGATAGTTTTTGTGTTAAGAATAATAATTTAAAAAAATATGTGGTCATCTTTTGACAATTTTATATTAGTTTATTAATTGCAGTAAACATTATAATATATAAATAAATTTTGTGAATGCAAATAATAATACATCACTATTAGTAGACATTGAATGTTTTTTGTTAAATTAAATCGATTTTCAAACCCCAAAATTTAAAATATATTTTACTTTTTACCCATTATCTTATGTACCACCTATTCATTATTTGTATATTGTAAAACATTTGCTGCATTTGTATGGTTCATAGTTTATTTGCCAAAGTATTTATTACTATAAATAGGTATATATTATATTGTATTTATTAACTGTATATTATGTATATGTCATGTAAACTATATCATTATACAAATACAAATCAAAAATACGAGGAATAATTATGTTTTCCATGTATTCTACAACATATTTATTAATCCGTAGTATCTAACTAGTCTGACGTCATAAATCTCGCTCCGTGGCTGTTCTATTAGAGACCGCATTGGTCCAATATTTAGAAATGTCAAAAGCTGATGACATTTTACTTTTGTCAATTATGACATTTCGTGTTGATTTTTGCCAGAAGAGGAAGAACTGTAACTTGTTTTATTATTTTCCTTTTCTATTTCACGAAAGTAAAAAGAGTTACCTATCTGATTCGTTCAGGTACTCAATTTAAAGAATATCAGTAACTTTTTTGACAAAGGGATTTTATATTTGCCATGTTGGTAAAAAATAACGGTCAAAATTCAAAGTTATATATTATTCATTTTATAGACTATAGCATACTTATCGTTTCTAGACTAAAAAATATATAATTATTGACATTTATAAACCTTCAAATTCAATATGACAAATATTATTTCGTAAATTCTTAAAACCCTTACTTTTGGGCTTGTGCTAATTAATTTTGTGTTAGCGGTAGCTCCAATAATACAAAAGTCCTATATTTTTTAACATGAACCATCCCTTAGTGTTATAGTCGTTTCAATTTCGTTAACTGCATATCAGAACAATTATTCATTAAATAGAAATACACAAAAAACAATTCTGCAAATTTAGAGCAATTCTGTATTCTGATCAGCCAAGTCAAACTACAAACGAAACCTAGAATTTTCAAAATAACTACGGTCTTTATGATTACAATAAGGGTTCTTTTAGACTCCCTTGTATATTGATGTACAAAAGATTGCGATTTTTCGTTGTTATGTTTTGGCGAGTGTGGGAATTTTGCACCAACACCTGCATACGAGACTGAAAAAGATTTAGGCGAATTGAAATCCACAGGTAAACAACGTTACGTAAATACAAGTACGACTGGTACTACCAAACAGAGAATATTTTCATTCGGTTATACAGTATGTCTCAATAAAAAAAATTAAAAAAAATACTTTTTTATTATTGACATTTTGAGAAAAATGCATTCTTCATAAACATTTTTGCTTGTTCCAAAATGGTAATTCCCGTTTATACTTTTTCAAATTTCCATACTGTTTTAGGGAAAATAAAAAAAAACATGAAAATATAATTATTGAATTTTTCCTAAAAGAAGTCCTAAAAGTTCTGTAGTCCTAAAAATCAAAACGTGTTTCTATGGTAATATAACTTCGTTTTCATTCTTTGATAGATTGTTATTTAAATAATTAATTTTTAATTTTAATTAACGTCATATTTTTTGCTATTTTAATATGTTAAAGAA